TTTATGACTTCTTAAGACTGTACTTAAGACGGTCTTGAATATAAGATCTGACTATGAATACCGGCCATAGTCAATTCTTATTTAAGGCTGCTTTCCATTTGATGACACAAATCGACACAAGTCGACACAAATGTCGTTCTATCCTTCTTGATATTCAGAGAGTGACAAAGATAGAACGACACTTGTGTCGATTTGTGTCGACTGTGTCTCCTAAAAGGAAAGCAGCCTAAGTAATGCCATAAGACACTAATGCAGCCCTCTGATTGGTTCATGACTTCTTAAGACCGTACTTAAGACGGTCTTGAATATAAGATCTGACTATGAATACCGGCCTATGTATACAATATTAACGAAGTTATAATAAAAAAAGATAATTTTTATGTGCCGTATTTTATCGATACCGAAAGTTTTCGTGTATCGTGTAATAACGGTACCGATATATTGAACAAGAATGTTAGGAAAATATTAGGTAAATGTTAGGTAAATGTTAGGAAAATGTTAGGTAAGTGTTAGGTAAATGTTAGGAAAATGTTAGGAAAATAATAGGTAAATGTTAGGAAAATGTTAGGAAAATGTTAGAAAAATGTTAGGAAAATGTTAGGTAAATGTTAGGAAATTTTCCTAACAGTTTTTTTTTTTTTTCCTAACATTTACCTAACATTTACCCCCCATTGCTGAAATAACAAGTCAGATACCCTTTGTAAGTCTTTCTTACTATTTAAAGGGTTAATTTCCTTCGGAGCAAATTATACAGCGTACGTTATATTATTACAATAAATTCTACCTTCCCCGTCTTTGACACCTGAAACATTTAAGAAAAAGAATTCCACGAAAAGCGGAGAGCGATTACTGCTCGTATTAGGAGGTACAGTTTTCGTCAAAATGATGTCTCTGTAGATTCTCTCGTTGATGTAGGTTAAACTTGATTCCTAGGATGGAAAGTGAAAAGTGAAAATTTTGGGAGGATCCCGTTTGTCTACAATCCCGATTGCACACACCACTCATATCAGCTGGTGCTTAGTAATTTTTCACTGCTTTACCAATGAGAATATTTTATTTTTAAATTAGCCAATTAGCGACGCATGTGTACAACATGCAATGGTCACGTTCAGCAGACTCAACTGTTGTGGAGCAGATCCGTGAGCACTCGCTGCTATTGGTATTCTTCTAGATCATCCAATAGCAGCGAGCGCTCACGGATTCGCTCCACAACAGTTGAGTCTGCTGAACGCGATCAATGTGTGCAATCGGAGCCTTCCCAAAATTTTAACCATTGAAGTTAATGGAGAAATTTTTCACTTTTTATCCTAGGAAAAAAGTTTCATAATAGGCCTAGTTTACACCGAGGGTTCGATTCGAGTCGGAATATAAGAACCAACCAATTGCAGTCGAGCATTCCCTTGTCATTCGACTGTAACAGGGGAATGCTCGACTGCAGTTGGTTTGCATTCTGACCCGGATCGAACCGTCGGTGTAAACTAGGCCATTAGGCGTGTTCTTTTTGGCTGAACCTTTGCACCAGTTCATCTTTTTTCCTTTTCTCTCTAGCAGGAAAGAAGAGGAAGAAAGATGAACTGGTGCAAAAGTTCAGCCAAAAAGAACAGGCCTAATGATGCCCTGTTCTTTTTGTTGAACTTTTGCATTAATTCATCTTTCTTCCTTTTCTCTCCAAGAGGAAAGAAGAGGAAGAAAGATAAACTGGGGATCGATTCTGTATCTTGAAACGAGGTAAAAATTACAAAAGCGAGTGAATTTACTAGAATACTGATAATTTCATTGGTCAACACCTAGTAAATTTGCTCACTTTTGTAATTTTCACCTTGTTTGAAGATGGAGAATCGACCCCTGGTGCAAAAGTTCAGAAATGAAAACAGGCCTTAAGGGTATCGCACATGAAATGCATAACAGAGCATAAGCATAACATAAGACTGCTGGACCAATGAGCATCTAGCATAATGTCGCCATATTGATTTACATAAGGTGCTCATTGGTTTAACGGCCTTACGTTATGCTTATGCTCTGTTATGCATTTCATGTGCGATAGCCTTTACACGTGATGTTTTGACGTGTTTTGGCGCAAGAGCACGTTCAAATTTGAAGTAACGACGTTAACCTCAAATAAGGTGATCAACATCATCTTTGCAATCAATCGCAATGGAAGCGACCGCATCAACAGTGAGTCTCAATGTGGATGAGGATTTGGATGATTTTACTCCGGCAAAACTGGTTAAAGCATTAGAGGTAAGTCATGCCGTACGAATCTACCGTCAGGACTGTCTTTTCATGTCCGTACACGTTCGAACACGTTCGTCATGTTTGTCTTGTGCTTTGTTACTTGTCACGCAGAAAAATGGCATCACAGCTGGAGATATTAAGAAGCTCCAAGAAGCCGGTTACCATACCGTCGAGTCAGTGGCCCACGCAACCAAGAAGGATCTCTTGGAGATCAAGGGCATCAGTGAAGCCAAAGCAGATAAGTTGCAGCAGGAGGCCTCCAAGATGGTCATGATGGGCTTTAAGAGCGCCACAGAGATACATCAAATACGGGCGAATATCGTCTATATCACCACAGGTTCCAAGGAATTGGACAAGCTATTAGGTGGAGGAATAGAAACTGGCTCTATCACAGAGTTGTTTGGAGAGTTTAGATCAGGAAAGTCTCAGCTGTGTCACACTCTCGCTGTGAACTGTCAGTTACCCATCAGCATGGGTGGCGCAGAGGGCAAATGTCTTTACATAGATACAGAGAACGCTTTTAGACCAGAAAGATTACTAGCAGTGGCACAAAAGTACAAGATTAATGGACAATCAGTTCTCGATAATGTCGCTTGTGCAAGAGCGTTCAACACTGATCACCAGACTAAGTTGTTGCCTCTAGCCAGTGCCATGATGACAGAGGCAAGATACGCCCTGTTGATAGTCGACAGTGCGACTGGTTTATATAGAACCGATTACACCGGCAGGGGTGAATTATCAGCTAGACAAGTCCATTTAGGGAAATTCCTTAGAATGCTGCTGCGACTGGCAGATGAACATGGAATAGCTGTGGTTATAACGAATCAGGTGGTTGCACAAGTCGACGGCGCCGCTAGTATGTTCGGCGGTGATCAGAAAAAACCGATTGGTGGTCACATTTTAGCACATTCAAGTACAACGAGATTGTACTTGCGTAAAGGCAGAGGAGAAACTAGAATATGCAAGGTATATGATTCACCGTGTCTACCAGAGAGTGAGGCAACATTTGCCATAAATCTGGATGGCATAGGCGATGTAAAAGAATAAGTTTAAACGGAAGAGTTAGAATAAAAATGAATATAATAAATTATTACACAGTGATTTATTTTTAAGAAAATCGACAAATGTATCTCAGCATTGGATATCAACTTATCTTTGTTAAAGTGAAGTTAAACAAAGGGATAAATGTTTCTCTCAAGTTGGATAATGTTAATTTACATATCTTAAAATAATTGAATAGTTTAAAAAAGACAATAAATTCTACGCAATCGAAGTTAATTGTTAAGTTAGTTAAGGAGTAGATCATATGTACAGTATACTTTTTTAAATATCCTCCTAATATATTTTTTACTTTCTTACAAAACTTTATATAATATTATATTTCAAGGCTTTAATAAATATTAGACAATAATGTACTTTTCTAAAACGGGATGGTTCTCTTTTATTATATAATTTGTGCAAAAGGATTAAAAATATTTTATTAATTAAGCTTTTAAAGAATAAATATAAATAGTATATTTTTCAAAATATTTTTGTTTATAGTATATCTTAACTATTTAAATTCCAATTTAATTCTGACGATTTTAATTTTTAGACATTTAATTTTGGATGCTATTAACAGTAACATTGATTATCGATTGGCAATCATTGAGATCATATGGTTGGTACTCGTACTATTCGTACCTCTTTCACATCATTTCTCGATAATTCGAAGATTTGCCAACTTTCATGATCTCCGCGATCGCTGTTGCTTTTTCGCAAAATTTTCAGTGAAATCTACAATGGTTTATACTTGTATAATAATTCATAATATTTGTACGTCAAATCTGCTATTTT